GTGCGGTCACCAGTGCGAATGACGTACGTGCAGCTAAAGCCACCCCCCCCCCCCCCCCTCGTGCTGAGAGTACCACTCACGGACCTCCTGGGGTGACGGAGTGTGCTGCTGGCCCTGGCCACCGCCAGCGCCTCCACGACCACCACCGCCGCCGCCACCTCCTCGACCACCCCAACCTCTGCCGCCGCGTCCACCGCCACCCCCACCACCGCCTCCGCCCCGGCCACCTCCCCCGCCGCTGCCGCCACCACCCCCACCGCTGCCACTAGCCCCTCCAGTCGCGCCACCACCCCCACCGCCGCCACCTCCCCCACCACCGCCTCCCCCCCTGTCACCGCCACCGCCCTTAGCCCCTTTGCCCTTGCCGCTGCGGCGCCCGCTCGAAGCAGACGCAGTCCCGACCTTCTCAACACCAAGGAGGTCGACAGCAGCAGCAGAGGCGACAGAGGGAAGAAGGGGGGAAGGAGAACACCCCTCAAAGAACGGGGTACGGGGGTCGCCACGAGAGGCACCTACAGCGACTATGCTAGCCTCAGCTGCAAGCAGTTCCTTCTTGAGGAGGGCAATGGTGAGCTCAGTGGGGCAGCGAGCTAGGAAGTGGTCCCTGACAGCACGAAGTGTGTCAGGGAGGCGGGTGACTAGGTGGTAGAGAGTGAGCCAGAGTGGGGGGGGGGTGAGTGGCAAGGAACTCAGCGGGCATGGCGACACGAAAGCGGGCCTCACTAGTACGGAGGTGCGTGATGAGGTCAGCGACTGTGTGGAACGAGGCTAAGTCGGGGAACAGGTAGGGAAGAGAGAGACGGCCTAGTGCAGCAGAGGCCGGTGAGGAGTAGCGGGCAACGACAGCAGTGTACAGTGCCTGTGCAGTCTTGTGCTGCCCAAAGTGCTCGCGCTCATCTATCGGCAGCGAGTTGCGAATAGCGAAGCGAGCGTGGGCGTCACGAGTCTGCCACTGTGAGCGAGTAGTGCTGTCAGCAGTAGCAGCAGGAGCAGTAGCATGGCCTAGGGCGTGATCGTACAGTGAGATGTCTTCCTTGGCAGTGAGCTGTAGGAAGAGGTGTAGGTCATCTAGCCAGGTTTCGAACTTCACTGGGCGGCCCTCAGCATCGAAAGCTAGCACAGGGGGGCTAGCCATAGCAGTAGAAGGAGTGAAAGTGGTAGTTGAAGTAATAGCAGTAGTAGGGACTCAGGTAGGGCGGCTCGGTCCAGTACGTGCGGCGCGGCTCGGTTCAGGTAGGGCGGTGCGGCTCGGCAAGGGCGGCGCGGCTCGGTTCAGGTAGGGCGGCGCAGCTCGGTAAGGGCGGCGCGGCTCGGTTTGGGTCGGGCGGCTCGGTTCGGGCTGGGCGGCTCGGTTCGGGCTGCTCGGGTCGGGCGGCTTGTTCTGGGCGGGGCCGTTCGAGGCCGCTAGGGGCGAGCGCGGGGCCGATCGGGGCTGTTAGGGGCGAGCGCGGGGCCGTAAGGGGCCGCTAAGTGCGAGCGCGGGGCCGATCGGGGCCGTGAGGGACGAGCGCGGGGCCGCTAAAGGCGAGCGTGGGGCCGATCGGGGCCGTTAGGGACGAGCGCGGGGCCGTAAGGGGCTGCTAAGGGCGAGTGCGGGGCCGATCGGGGCCGTTAGGGAGGAGCGCGGGGCCGTAAGGGGCCGCTAAGGGCGAGCGCAGGGCCGTAAGGGGCCGCTAAGGGCGAGCGCGGGGCCGATCGGGGCCGTTAGGGACGAGCGCGGGGCCGTAAGGGGCCCCTAAGGGCGAGCGCGGGGCCGATCGGGGCCTCTAGGGGCAAGCGCGGGGCCGTTAGGGACGATCGCAGGGCCGAAAGGGGGGGGGGGGCGCTAGGGGCGAGCGCGTGGGCCGTTCGAGGCCCCTAGGGGCGTGAAAACCGAGGCGCCCTAGGGCGTAGGTAGGTAGGTAGGTAGGTAGTGGTGGGCCCTAAAAAATCGGTCCTGGGAAGGACCTGCTCTATACCATGTTGAAATTAATGAACTGGAATGATTGAACTATGAAAGGAGTGAGTACAAGTACTAACCCTAATTGGGTTGTACCCCCTATGGGATACCCCACTACAGCCTACACAAATGTATAAGCTATATAACATTCTGACACTCTCGTACATCGCAAGTCAGCTGGCGCAGTATTCACGCAAACCAACGGCCGAAACTCTTCTGGACCTGCAGCGCGCCCTCCAATTCTTCATTTCAACGCCCAAGATTGGGCTGCGTTACTCAACTGCACCAACCCCATCCTTCAATCTCATCGGCTATGTGGACGCCGATCACGCAGCAGATCCCGATAATCGACAGTCCGGGACTGGGTTCCTGTTCCGACTCGAGCCTACGGGACCAATCTCCTGGAATTCACAGAAGCAGGAGTTGGTTGCCCTGTCATCAGCCGAAGCGGAATTCATCGCAGCAACCGCAGCAGTTCGCGAAGGCCTCTACCTGCAGGAACTCCTGCAAGAGACGAAAATTCCAGCTTCGCCCACATTCCGCCTTCACTGCGACAACCAGAGCGCGATTCGCATCGCCAACAAGCCTGGTTTCGTCAACCGCACCAAGCACATTGCGCTGCGGTACTTCTTCGTGAAGGACGAGGTGGACAAAGGCAAGGTCAACTTGACCTACTGCCCAACAGGTGACATGGCAGCAGACTTCCTCACGAAGCGACTGCCACGCCAGCAGTATCAGCACTGCTCCGAACTCAGCGGCGTGGTCAAGCAGGTCAAGTCGAGCTACGGCCAGGAGTGAAGGGGGGTGTTACGAATAGTAATATTTCATATTACTGAGCACTCCTCACCGCAGCAAAAGGAACACGCAATATCGGGAATGAACGCGAAGCGTCAGACGGTTGAGTCGGACGGTTACAGCACATCTGGACCGTCGGGCGGAGACGACATCGGGCAGCTGCAGGCAGGATGGTTTTGGCGGGAACAGTTACGAAACTGTACGCGCCGCACGGTTGGGATGTATTTGAATAAGGGAATGTACCCCTTAGAGTACATGGCTAGCTAGGTCGTTTCGTCTTCCCTGTACTCATATTTATATTCCATGTATTTGCATGTTTTATTTCATCTCAAAGCATTTTACATTCACTCTGCTATTTGAGGTCAATGGCCCACCAACACTACCTCTCTGCGTGCGAACCTTCCTGAGTAGATCCTGGGCTACGATCAACTTCTGATCGTAGCAAATAACGCATGTCTGTGGGTTTTAAAAATTGGGATCAAACTATCATTTCCGAGAAGGTTCTTTGCGCACTCAGTCAGTGTGCCCATTCGAACTGGATTTGATAGAATTGACCCATTTTTTAGATCACACTGATTGTGTTGTTTCATGTAACAGTTGGATGATTCAAAAATTATGCTATTGAGCTCCCCCCCATGCTAGGCAGGGGATGCGGTAGCATTGGGTCTGCGTCAATTAACTGTTACGCATTTCCATCATGCTATGCATTTATTTCATTACCGGTAGTATATGCATTATACTTATGCATTTGCATTTACTTCATCTACGCATAACAGCATCAGACTGTCAGAGGTCCACTGGTGATCCCCGATTGATCCTAGGGAAGGGTTACAGGCACGGTTGCCTGGGGGGTTATGGGCGCACTGACCCGCTACTTAAACAAGCCATTTTATCCAAATGGTCTAGTGGTTAGGATTCCGACATGGTGTCAGAGCGGTTTCGGGTTCGATTCCTGGTTTATGCACATGTAGGCCGTTGCCGCTGTGCTTAGTCCTGGGCCTCCCAGTGTGGGGGGGTGTCAGTAGATCTACACTGTGGATGCCCGATTGATCCTGAAGAGGGTTACAGGCGCGTTCGTCTGGGGGGTTATGGGTGCACTGACCCGCTACTGAAACAAGCCCTTTTATCCCAGTGGTCTAGTGGCTGGGATTCTGAGATGGTAACCAGAGCGAAGGTCTTGGGTTCGAATCCTGGTGTGTGCACTTCGGGCAACCCAGTGATGGGGGGGTGTCAGAGGTCCACTGGTGATCCCCGATTGATCCTAGCGAAGGGTTACACGCACGGTTGCCTGGGGGGGTTATGGGCGCACTGACCCGCTACTTAAACAAGCCCTTTGATCCCAATGGTCTAGTGGTTGGGATTCTGACACAGACATATGCATCATAGAATAAACAGTTACACGCGTTCACAGTACTTCATTTTGGCAACTCATGAAAAATAGGTTCAGTCAAAGTAAACTAGGAAATGAGAAGGAATGTGGTTCAGCACATGGTAAATTGACGCGGCAAATATATAGCAGTCAGTCACTTAGCTAGTACTGTTCACTATATTTTTTCCATCCTTTATTTTTTTAAGTATGGAGGATTGAAAAAAAAAAAATTTGTACCGTACATAACGATTGTAATAGGTTGCTTCGCAACCCAAAAAGTCTGAACGGACTCTGAATGAGACTACAAAAAGTCTGATATATAGGGCACTTATGGGAAGGGTGGGTAGGAATTGAACTTGAGCGATTGTAAAATTAGAGACGTGGGTGGGGGGGGGGGGGGAAGAATGAAACCAAACCTACATTACATTATCGGAGAAGGCAAATATCACGCTTTTACGATGCACAAAATTGTGTTACAGTCAGTTTCGCTTTCACAATACACAATTTTGAAAGCAATAAACGCTGTAGATATTTTATTATTATTATAATTGAAATGTATATTATGCTAAAAGGACGAAGAATGCTTGTTAAAGGCACTCGGGTATGGTGGGATGTGAACCGGCTATTTGGCATAACAAGTACAGTGCTTCAGTTTCTTAAGCAGATATCAGGCCAGAATTTTCTAACAATAGCTACCCCGTATGGTAGTGATTGTTTATTCCTTCACATCTCTCTTTTACAAATCTTCTAAACCTCTGTTCATCACTGATCTGGTAAGGCATTTACATGTATGCTTGTTTGGTACTACCGGTTGTAACAATGATGATATATGTATTCTCGCCGTCACGGTCACTCAGTCATGGATGCTCCATTCCCATCCGCATTATACCCCCACCATCACCTCCCCTCCTCCCTATCGTCCTCCCCTTCCTCCCCCGCCACCTGGATCGACAGCTCTGCCAGCTGGCGCTCCGCCACTGGAGCAGGGGCGTTGGTGAGCAGGCACTGGGCAGCGGTGGTCTTGGGGAAGGCAATGACATCGCGGATGGACGGCTGGTCGAGCAGCAGCATTGCCAGGCGGTCCAACCCGTAGGCTATGCCACCTGGTGTGAGAGGGAGGTGATGAGGGGAAGACGGAACATGAAGGTGAAAAGGGGGTTGGCCTTGGGGAAGGCTGTCTGTCACGTCTTTAGGAATGGCTGGTCCAGCAACTACATGGCCAGGCAGTCCAGCAGCCCGTGAGCTATGCCGCCTGAAACAAGGCAGACAACACGAGGGGCAGGGACAAATGAAAACGGCACAGGCTGGCCTTGCGGAAGGCTGTCATGCCTTGGATGATTGCCTGCTTGTGAAGCAGCATAACCAGTCAGTCCAACTACCTACTAATGCCACTGGGAGGGGGACGGAAATGGCAGAGGCAGAGACAGCGGGCTTGACGAGCAAGATGGAGGTCGTGTAGAGGTGAAGGTGTGAGAGTGAAGGTAGCATGAGAGCAGCACAATGAAGAGCATTAGAGGCTCATTGTGGTGCTCTTACCGTGTGGTGGGGCCCCGAGGTCGAACGCCTCCATGAGGTATCCAAACTTCTCCTCCGCCTGCCGTGAGGGAGAAGAGTTGAAGGGAGAGAGTTGATATTACAGCTATTATGTAAGAAAAAAAAAAAAAAAAAAAAAAAAAACAACAACAACAACAACAGCAAGTAATTAACAACGAAGGGCGCGAGAGGATAGAACAGCGACTAGCAATAGAGGGCACGAGAGGAGGCCCAAGGTACACACAGACCATCCAAACAATGTGAAAGCCAGAGCTACGGATGACACGCAGCAGCACTGACCACCTCTGTGGTAGGTGCTGGTGGTAACGCGAGGTGGCTTTTTTGGACTGGGAGGGTCACATTGCGGTGCTTCTCGCACCCACTCCCTCTCTTCCCCATTCACTCTCCTCCCTTACCTGTCCTGGTTCAGGGGGGCCCATGCACTCAAACAACTCCCACTCTTAACAGCCCCGCTTACCTCCCACACGCCGCCCCTCCCCCCATCCCCCACTTCCCCCCCACTCCAGCCCACGCACCCTCACCCCATCCTCCTTCCCCCCCTTCCCCCTTGGATTCTCCCCTCTTTCCCGCCCTCTTCCGTCGTGCCTGTTGGGGGGTGAGGCCGATGCAGTCAAACACCTTCTCCTGCACGTCCCGCCGGAAGATGCGCAGACTGCCACCTCCGATCTGAGGGGCACGGCGAGCGAGAGAGAGGGAAAAAGGAGGGAGAGGAGGCGGGCGGGAGAGAAGCAGGAACGATGAATATTCCTTTAAATCAGATGCTTCAAAGACTAATCTCTCAACATGCACAAATTGCCACTGACATGCGCTGATGCCACTAACAAACATGTGTGAGTTTAGTACATGAGTGTGCGTGTCTACCATTCCTGGTACACACA